CTTTGAAATACGGGGTTACATGCTATTTAATAGGGATAGAGTATTAAATAGGGGAGGAGGAGTGGCTTTATATAGTAAAATGTGAGTTACATTCTGTTTAAGTTGAGGATATCAAAGATAACAGAAAAGAGATTGAATCCATTTGGGTTTCTATTAGTGAATATAAAGAGAAAAGGCTTTTAGTGGGAATCTGTTACAGACCACCAAATGTTACAGATGAAATTAGTGAGAAACTTAACAATGAGATTAAGATTTCAGCTGTTAATGAAGTCATAATTATAGGGGATTTTAATTTCAGACATATAGATTGGGAAATTCTAGAGTCAACCCATGAGGGAGAAAGTTTTTGGAAACTGTTCAGGATGGCTTTCTTCACCAGTTAGTCAAGGAACCAGCTAGAAACAATGTTATTTTGAGACTTATTGTAAACTTCAAACACAGAAATGATTAAAAGAGTTGAAATTGGGGAATATCTGGGTACAAGTTATCATTGCTCTATTAAGTTCAATGTTTTGTTGCATATGGAGATAAGAAATAATGATATTTTGGTTACAAATTTAAAAAAAAACAAATTTTGAAGGGATGCAACAAAAATTATCTTTTGTGAATTGAGCAGCTGATTTGTTTGGAGACACTGATCAGATGTGGAAAATTTTCAAATATTCAAGGTAAACATATTCCTTATAGAAAGAAATGGGTAGCTACAAGTAAAAAACCAGGTTGTCTCACAAAGAGTTTACAAAATAAAATGAAAGAAAAGCAGCATAAATTTAAGAAATTTAAATTGAATGGTATGACAGGAGATTTAGAAGATTATAAAAGATCAAGAAAGTAGGTGAAACAGGAAATTAGGACATCAAAAAAAGGATAAATGAGAAAAGATTAGCTGAAAATGTAAAAATTATCAGTAAGGATTTCTTTAAATGCATTAAGGACAAACAAATTGTTAGGATGGGAGTAGGACCCTTGAGCGATGATAAAGGAAGGCTAGTATCTGATGATTATGAGATAGATGGGTTATTAAATTTTGCGTTTTGTTTGGTTTTTACTAACGAAGATTTAAGAAGTATTCCACATCTTCATCAGTTGACAAATGGAAAACAAGATCAAACAAGATGACTGAATTAATTTTGATATAGTTAAGAAAAAATTGGGAAGTTTAAAAAATAACAAGGCTTCTGGGCCAGATAATATTTCCCCAAGGGTTTTGAAGGAGGTTAAATATTGGATATGTGAGCCCACGAATAATGGGCAGGTACCAGAGGATTGAAAATTAGCTGATGTAACTCCTCTTTTCAAGGGAGGTGATAAAAATTGTCCCAGTAATTATAGACCCAATAGTCTTACATCAGTTGTGGGAATAATTCTGGAATGTCTGTTAAAAGATGCTTTGTAAAGTCATTTAACAAAGTTTAGAATTTTATTGGATAGTTAACATGGTTTCACTAAGGGAAAATCTTGCCTTACAAATCTTTTAACATTCTTTGAAAAGTTTACTGCTTGTGTAGATGAGGATAAGGGTGTAGATTTGGTGTATCTGGATTTTCAAAAAGCATTTGACAAGGTACCACATAAAAGGCTTGTAAAAAATTATCTCTATAGGTGTGAGGGATAAGTTAGCAAATTGAATAAAAGAGTGGTGGATGGAAGAAAGCAGAGGGTTGTTACAAATGAAGTTCAGTCAAACTGGATTAATGTCACAAGTGAGGTACCTTTGCTTTTTTTTTATTATAGATGAAGGGATAGTCAATAAATTACTTAAATTTGCAGAGGATATTAAGGTCTTGGGTGTTGCTAGCTGTGAAGAGGAGACTGCTGATTTACAAAAATATTTAGATCATTTAGTGAGTTGGGAAATAAATGGCAGATGGGTTTTAATTATAATAAATGCAAGATAATGCATGTGGGTTATCATAATTTGAATTAAAAGTATAATTTGGATGGGAATAACCTTAGTAGTGTTATGAAGGAAATGAATCTTGGTGTAATAGTCGATCAGTCTCTAAAGCCATCCAAGCAGTGTGCTGTTGCTAGTGGTAGGGCAAATGGGATTTTAGGTTGTATCTATAGCAATATTGAATACAAGTCTAAAGAGGTTATACTTTCATTGTACAGGTCACTGGTTAGGTCACATTTGGAGTATTGTGTTCAGTCTTGGGCTCCTTACCTTAGGAAAGACATTGAATTGTAAATGGTTCAGAGAAGGGTTACTATAATGTAACCTGGGATAGAGGGGTTGTCATACATTGTTTTCTCTTGAAAAAAGAAGAGTTAGGGGGGATCTGATTGAGGTGTTTAAGATTGAAAAGGGAATTGATAATGTTGATGCATCATCTTTTTTATATTTAACAATGAGACTAGTAGGCAAGGTAGGAGTCATCTTCAACTGAGACAGGGTGGTCGGCCTTTGGAACGGCTTGCCTTCAGATGTTGTAGAGGCGGTAAATTTAAGTGAGCTTAAGAAAAAGCTTGATAAGTATATGAAAGAAAAGGGCTGCCTTTAAGATTTTATAGAAAAAATTTTATTTATTTTTTTAATCATTTTAATTTAGTTTAGAGGATGGAACAGTCGAGATGGACCAATAGGTCCCATGTTGTCCCAAAATGTTATGTAATGTTAATATTAAAGCAACAATGTACAACAGAAATTTAGATATACTTCAAATGAATTAATATCTTTATTATCAGGTGTGTCTTAGAGGCTGTTTATGAAGTAACAGAAAATTTAAAACTACAAAATGTACCAATCACCAGAACAAACTATTAAAAACAAGGCAATATTCTGAATACATAAAAATACTGTGAATTTTCACCAAATAATTCAATAACACATTTTCCTTTTCCCTTTGCCAACAACAAAAGCCTGTACCTAGTATGACAACATCAGGCCAGGAAATTTATCATTTTAAAGAAAAGGCCATTTTGCCTTGGATTTTCTCTCATTTTCAAGGGTACCAAGATAAAAAAAAAAAATTCACTGGAGGGCATTAAGGCCACAGTAAACATTAATGTTAATGGAACAGAAATGAGTTTTCCAATTAGTTTAGTAAATATGGCATTAATTGTTTTCACTGGGGGCTTGGGAGGTAAGAATTAACTTTAACCAATGAGACTTATGAATAACAGTACATCAGCTTTAAGATAAAAAAAAAAAGAAGAGGTATCATGCTGATCTAGAATGCCCTGTGACTTTAATAAGATTCCTTGTGTTTGCCCCCTCCTGACCCCAAATGATGTTTGACCTAAACATCATATACAACTTTTAGGCACCTCTATCCACTTCTTAATTGTTCTAACTTTGAGAAGGATCAAACAATATCCCTGGGAGGAGAAGCATTTTAAATGTTTTCAGGATTTGACCTCTGGTGACCTTACAAATCATAAGCAAATTTTAGGCATCTCTAACCAACTTTGATAAAGATCAGACTTACACACAAAGAGAACAAGTGCTTTATAAGATTTCTACCTTTTGCCCCTCCTGACGCCAAATGACTTTTGACTTAAGAATTGTATACAGATTTTATGCACCTCTATCTGTTTATTACTTTGTATAACTTTGAGAATGATCAGACAATATACTTGGGAGTAGGAAGTTTTAAAGGCCTAATTTCTACCAAGAAAATTCAACACCAACATATTTGACTACTTGACCAAGATTGATGAAAATCAGTTACATGGTCTCCGAATAGCAGTCCTTCGAAAATCTTGATGGACAGATAGGTAGAAAGACATATTGCCATTGTGTCAGCAATACCAAGTGTGGGGTACTCATATACCATATTGGATTTTATTACTCATCAAGATCTCCACTAGCCTACCCTCAAACTGAAATTCTTTTAGGCAGGATTAGAGTAAATTAGGTATGGCCAAATACATTAATCAAAAGGGCTTGACCTTCTGAGTCCTAAACTGTAATTAGATCTTAAATTGGTCAAGAGAAGATGGATCTATGAGCTAAAAGTTTGTACTTTAAAAGAAAATTTGAAGCCATTCTATGAGCCACTATGCTGTGGCTAAAAGTCAGGATGTAATCTACTTGCTTACCAAGATAAAAAAAAAGTTCCAATTTCTGACACTTGCCACTATAGAAAAAAGTTTCATGGCATTCTCCCTCTTAACTCATTCCTTTTTTGGCATGTTTAACACAAGGAATATTTGCAGCTGCTCACTTCACTTTGACTAATATACTGCTGTCACTGTGGATGTTTGTGTAAGCTCTGCAGGTTCGTTGTTTGAGCAATGATTTGAAATGCTTGCTACTACTAAGACTCTGCAGTATGGTATAACTCAACAAACTGCATGAATGTTTTACTGCCAATCAAAGTGAAAACTTCACACACTTCACTACATGCATTTTATGTGATATATTATTTGTAGTTTCTGTAGGTTGTAAGTCTAATGTTTGTGACCTCAATGATTTACCATTTACTGTGGTATGCAATACAAATTTAGATTGTGAGAACATGATGGCCAAACTGATAAAAAAGGGTGGCCATTGTGGCCATACATTTAAGTGATTTTCCGAGGGCACTTTGGCCATTTTGAAAAATATGGCAGTATTTAAACTCTAGAAGGAAGCAAAAGTATTTAGTTTGCATGCTTTAGAATCAAAGGACTATTACACTTGTAGTAAAAAAAAGTTTGGTAAACAAGAACAATAATTCACCAGTTCATCAAAATGAAAAAAAAAAATCTCCAGCACTATATTAGAAATAGTGACAAAAGAACAAAAATTTTAAAAAGGCTAATCAAATATAAATATATTGGCCATGGACCAACAAAATACAACAAGCATAACAATAATTCAGATTGAAAGCATAAAAATAACTGAACAGGAAAAAGATAGAAAAACAAACTAAAATGGAAGAGAGCATATTTTTACTTTTAAGACATACACTCATGAAAATAAACGGCAGTAGGTTAGGTACGAAAAATAAGGTAGAGAAAGAACATTAGTCCTGTGATTTATGTTAAGTGACAGAGTTTCGTTAATAAATAAAGCCTCAAAACCAATTTAAGAAATCACTTCAAACCATGATTCCTGCTTATAGTAATTTGAACAACATATAATTTCACACACTCACTTGATCCTAGAGGACTGACGGGAGGACCTTAGTTCCTGTAATGTTGTGGACAGCTGTCTACTGCTTCGAGTGACCATGCCGTGAAGAGCTACAGGATGCTGTGGTATGTTTATATGAACAGGGCCAATAGTCAGCAATGCTGAGTTTCTGTCTTTTCCTTTCTTACTCTGACTGGAACACAGGGCTTGTGATTTTCCCACAGACATTTTCACAACAGTCCTAAGAAATAATAACATTAACAACCAATACCTGGTGGCACTTTCTGAAATATGGGACTTTGGATTTTCCCCACTAACATTTTCAAAACAGTTCAAAGAAACAATAACAATTCCCTTCCTTTGCATCTAGGCATTGGTCTAATTTTCTTTCTTGCTTGCTCCAGTCTTTTATTCCCCACTTAATTGCCTTTGGCTATATCTGACTCATGAAACTCTATGTCAGTGTGCCCTCTATCCTGGTACTGTATATAAGCACTTCATTCAGATAAAGTTACCAATTTTTTGAGACTGAATCAATCTGCAGTCTCTAAAACCAGCTCTTAGAGGGGGGGGGGAGGTAGGTAGGAGAGTATGAGTATGGAAATAATAGGTGGGGGGGGCATTAACCATACAGAAAGCATCTGCATAGATCATGGGTATTAATAGAAGAATGGCACCTTAGTGGGTGAACCGCACTACATCCAGAACAGGCATGCTCTTCACCCAGAACATGTGGGTGGATCTTTTCATGATCCATCATCACTACTGGCCAGGTAGCCAAGGTTACATTGCTTGGGGTTGGAATTAACCCCACTTGGGGTTAGTGGTTAGGGCACTTGGACTGCAATATACATATGCTTGTGAGTGGATCCCAACTTGTAGCTATAGAGTGATGCATTCCAAGCCACCAGAATCATGCCAAGGTAAGAAACATTGAAGTGGACAAACCCTCTTCTTAACTTGAAGAAGTTTGAAAGGCAACACCCCAAACTCAGAATGATGGGATCCTGTATGCCAAACTCAACCTGAGGAAACAGAACTCATCTGGTTTGGAATTATTAACACTTATCTTCACTCCACAACCATGTGGGCAAGGTAAATTTCACTTGTTTTCAGAATAATGTGGAGAACATGGAACAAACTGTGCTCAACCAAGGACCCAGAATGGGTCCACTCTGTGTTCAACATTATGAGGAGACAATGGATCCTCTTCCAATATTGATCAAAAAGAAGGGCCATGCTCAACCCAATTGGATAGTCGAGCATCAAATGTGAATCAGTATTACGAGTGGACTGCTGCCTCTCCTACCAACATCTGTAAAAAAACATCCAGGGTCTTGGGTAAAAGGGCCCCCAATTTTACACTCTTCCTGAAGGAAATTTGCTTGAACACTTTGGAGGAATAACCTCTGTCTACTACCCCAGTGACTGGAAACCAGATGTGGTAAGGACTCCCTAACTCCACTAGTATAATATTGGGGTGGGTGGGAGATAATGTGCACTGGGGACTCCTGAGGAACAATGTTCTGGAAACAGTGCAAACCAACCCTGATGTATTCAATCCAATGATTTCTACAGAGCCTGTTGCAACCTAGATAAGGTATATTGTGTTAATGGTTGCTAGTGTGGAACTGGTTTGATAAAAGCACACCTGCCTGGGCAACATACGTTACAGAGTGGGATCCTGTGAAAAAGAAGTAAGGGACCCTGGAAAGTAAAGAAGATAGAATATTAGTTACGAAGATACTCACACCTCCTTACAATCTAGCAGATGTGGTTAAGATAGCTACAAGGGGTAGTCAAAAACCTTCAGAGGAAGATACTGCCAGATCATTCAAATAATGTGAGATAAAAGTATTGGAGTTGGTCCACATACCAGCCCACGGGCAAGGCTACTGAGGATATAGAAATGTGATGATTCTGATGAGATGTGACTTGCAGCAGTTTCCTCACCTCCAAAGAAAGCCCAGACTAAGTGATATGTATTAATATTTGTACCAACCTCAACAAAGTAACCGGGGATAAATCCTGGGATACTGAAGGATCCCAATAAATAAAAATTCATCGTCTAGCACCTCTATAGATGTAAACAACCTAACACTTCAAGGCCCTCACTGGACATAACAAACAATCGATCATGGAGGTGAAAAATAGTGGTCAGATGAATTTTTGAAAAAAATTTATCCCCTTCCCTGGCTTCCAGTGTTGTAGGTAAGAAGGACCTGTCTTGGTATATGATAACATAGGTAGAATGATAAAGCATCCTGTGCACATACAGTGCAAACAACTTCAATCAGCAATGTCTGTAGGCCAGCAGCAACAAAAAATAAGCCTTAAGGGACAAGTGATACATGGTACATGATGCTAAGGACTCAAATGAATGTTGAGAAAGAGAATGTAATACCACCTTAATATCACAGTTAGGTACTGGAGAGGTCATTTGGGATGAAGGACCAGAAACAACTTAAACAGACAGGAGAGCACTGGGGACTCAAATAATTTTCATCTGGAGTATCTAAACGTAGTCAATGAGCTTACCTTATATCAGGCAATTGTGGAAGATGTGAAACTCTTGTCAAAGAGCCAGGTCAAAAAATTAGTTATGATTGACACTTCTGGAAGAAATGGGTTCAGCCTCCTAGCAATACATCATTGTTGATATGTGTTCCATTTCCATCGATAAAGGTCCATTGTGGGACTATGCAAAGACTGAAACATACACATGGAAACATTAGAAGTTGACCACTGATGGCATGCTAAGGACCAAATAACCTCCATTTAGGATGGCTGGGTGTATGATGTCAGATCATGGCTGCTGCAACAGAGGTAGCCAAACAGGAAATGGAAAAGGTGGACACACCTGAAGGTACCACAGATGTGGAAACCAGGGTTGAGCCAGCCAATCAGATGCTATCAACAGAACCTGACAAGAAGTTGAACGAATCATAGCTGTGTAGCATATGAATTGGAGGGAAGACATAGAGGTGCAATCCTGTCCATTCTTGACTGAATGCATCTATTACTAATGCCTAAGGATGAGGTACCAGAAACCAAAATGTCGGTAGTTGAGTGTTACAATGAGTGGCAAACGCATCAGTCAATAGTGTCCCAAACAGAGAGCAAGTCCAATGGAACCTCATGATGCAGCATCCATTCTGTTGGGAAAATCTGGTTGGGTCAAGACAATCAAACTGCCACCAAATTCATCAACCCAAAAACATGGCTAGCTAGTAGGATGATATGATGGGAGTGGGGCCCAATAAAGAACATCCAATGTTTGAAAACAAAGAGACCTGGACCAAGTGCCCCCTTGACAAGAAATGTAAGACACCTTCATGGAACTGTCGAGGTGAAACATGACAATTTTCCCCCTTAATAATTCCAGACCTTGAGACATTGCCCTTTGAACAACCAGAAGTTCTAAAACATGTATGGAAGCCTCATCATCCATCCACAAGCCCTGAAATTCCTGACCTTTGAAATATGCACCCCATCCATGAAGAGATGGATCTCTGGACGAGGTGGTGGCAAAGGATCTAACCTTCATTTGAGATTGAAGATGTTGATCCTGAATAAGAACCCTGGGGAATCTAGTGAATCACTGTTCATAATCCATTGATCATGTAGAGACCACTGAAGGGATCACATGTGTGCTTGTCCCAAAGGAATGAAGGATTTGAGTGATGCCCACCTCTCCAAAAGAGAAAGAACCCTCTGCACAGTGGGAGAAGTGAGTAATAGTCAGACTGCCTGTTCCATAGCATGGAGCCGGATGGGAGTTGGCTGAGCCCAACTGACATACATGTTGAAAAAGACACCCAGATGGATGACATATTGTGTTGGAGTGACAATAGGTTTCTCAGCTCTGATAATAAAGCCTGCTTTGGTTGCTTTTGAAAATAGAACCTGGGTGTCAGCAGTAACCAATTATCCACATAATGGAGTGTGCACCAGGATAGAGAGTGAAGGTGACGAGAAAAAGCTCATATGATATGGCAGAATGCATATGGTTTCAATGCTAGTCCAAAGAACAAAGCCCTGAAATGCAGTACCTGACCCTCGTGCACAAAAGGCAGATAATGACAGGACAACTCTCATATGGGAGTGTGAAGATAGATGTGGGCAACATCGAACTTGGTCATCCACAGTCCTGGTAAAAAATGCCAATTCAGAGTGAGAAATTACTCCATTGTGAACCTTAAAGGGTCTAGGAACTGACGCAGATAAGAAAGATTGATGACCAGATGTCAATCTCCTGTCTTCTTGGGCACAACAAACAGATGGGAATAAAACCCTGGACAAACCGGGATGAGTTTCTCCCTTGACCAACAAATTTCTGACAGCCCTGGAATGAATTTCTGAAATCAGAAGATCTATGGAAGGCAGAAGCACTACAGGTTGGGTGGATAATGGTGGTGAAGATATGAACTAAATGACTAATCCTGATGCAAGAACCTGTAGTACCCATAGTAAAGTTGTTTTTTCATGAAAAACAACTAGGTAACACAAAGAACACTCAAAATATCTCCAACAGTCATAGTACAAATAAACCCATTAGGGAACACTTTGTTGAGAAAATATGATAATATTATCTAATACGAATGAAATGCTTATATACAATACCAAGATAGAGGTGCATTAATGTAGGTGGAAAGTGTCATGAAACAAATATTGTCAAGAGCAATTAAGTGAGGAATAGAAGACTGGAGCAAGTGAGAAAAATCAGACCAATTCTTAGATGGGCAAAGGAAGGAAACCTTAGCAGTCGAGTAATTAGTTGTAGTACCAGAGGAGATAAGTATGTTTTGGAATACTAGTTATTAGCAAGTCTGCTTTGTATTTTTTGGTTCATTTTTTTCGCATTAGGCTCCTTTCATTCCTCATCAGTAATAAAGATGATTTTGAAAACATTTTCAAAAACAGTTTGAATGTCACGTCCAATGATTTACATTTACATTCAGAATGTTGACTTACATCAACAGTAATATTCAGAATATTTTCACTCAAGAGAGTTAGTAATTATGTTAGTATAATTTTACTAAAGGGTTTACATAGTTATGTTGCCAGTATTTAACTCGTATGTATACACAAAGTCCACTGAGAAAACAAATTCATGGTATTAGAATTATATACCAAGGTTACCTTACCAAAATAGTGTGCCATTTGGCAAAACAAATGTTTATGTTAGCATTTTTATCACAAATTTGATTCTTCCCTTAAATTGTAAACTCACGCCATTTCATATACACACATACGATTATAAACATTAAATTATACAAAGTTACAATTACAAAGATTTAACTTCTACCAGATAAAATAGAAATAATGTTTCACTTAATTACTGAAAAGGTTCTTGTAACAACATTCAAACAATGTTTAATTGACTTATATAAGCAGCATCTATCACTGACTGATGTACAAAATTTAATGAAGGAAACTTGAGAAGAGGCAAAATCCTTTACCATACATATGAAACATTCAAATATTTCATAAATCAAAATATGTTTACTTACTGCTGATTTGGAGGAAGTCCTTACAATAGTGCCAGTAGAGTCTGCCCAAGCTGACCTGTTAAAGAAAATATGTTTACTTACTGCTGATTTGGAGGAAGTCCTTACAATAGTGCCAGTAGAGTCTGCCCAAGCTGACCTGTTAAAGAAAATATGTTTACTTACTGCTGATTTGGAGGAAGTCCTTACAATAGTGCCAGTAGAGTCTGCCCAAGCTGACCTGTTAAAGAAAATATGTTTACTTACTGCTGATTTGGAGGAAGTCCTTCCAACAGTGCCAGCAGAGTCTGCCCAAGCTGACCTGTTAGAGATGATTCACTCCATTTTCTCGAAGCTCTAGCCTTCTCCTTCTGCGTCAGGCTGGTATGAAGCCCACTAAGTTCTCCTTCAAGCTTTAACCCACTCAGCAATGCTAGAAGACGAACTTTCCTAACCTGAACCACACCAAACACCACTCGAGGGATCCATTCATGGGCTAAAAAAGCTGCAACAAGGAAAGGAGTTGACCACATACATGTTTGAAAGACATAAGAGAAAACATATGACACAAGTACTCCATCCAAAAGAGGAGTAATGTAAAGTGCATCCAAATAGACAGTTAAATAACTTGATGAATGAAGTAAGAAATAAAGTACAAAATAGTTCTTAAAAGTTAAACATAATCCGTCTAGTCAGAACCTGATTTGAATAGTTCTTACATTCCAGCTCCTGTACACATTTTTACAACTCATTATCAAGTGGCACTCGCTTTGAAGGAGTTATAAAATAGTTTTAAAAAATTGAAAATAATCTGTCTAGGTCACAATCTGCTTCAAGAAGTCCTTAGATTCCAGCTCCTATACACATCTTTACAACTCATACCAAGTGGCAAATTTACATTGACACTCTCTAGATAAATACTTGATTTGAAAAGACGTCATATTTCAGCTGCTATATGCATTTTCACAACTTATTATCAAGTAATGAGACTAGCTTGGCACTTGTTTTAAAAAGTTATCATATTCCAGTTCGTATACATATTTTGACAACTTATTATCATACAGTGAGTAAGGATAAGCATTTGTTTCAAAAATATAATATTCTTTGAGCTTCTATACATATCTTTACAATTTATTATCAAAGAAAGAATCAAGTCAGTTCTTGGTTCAGAAAGACATCTTCCAATTTTTACATACACATTGACAACTTATTACTAAAGTCCATGCTCCAAGATATTAAAATTTAACCATAAATCATTTGCATATATTTTATTATTGTCACTTTAGTTATAAAATTAATCTTTTAGGCCACATTTAATACAAAAATAACATGAAATTTTGGCACTAACATCCACTAAGCACAATATTTATGTTCACAATCATCCTTGAACATGAAACTATTTAAAATCAGCATGAGTTAGTACTATAATCTCAAACATGAAACTTTAGTAAATATAAGTGCATGTTTTAATGCTATAACTCTACTAAACATAAGCATGTTTTAATACTATAATCTTCAACATTAAACTATTTAAAACCAGCACGAACTCCAAACATGAAACTCTAGTAAAATTAAGCATGTTTTAATGCTATAATCCCAAAGATGAAACTTTACTAGACATAAGCATGATTTAGTATTATCACCTAGAACATAAAACACATACAGTCCATTGTTAGAATTAAAATAAAACACTATACAAAACAAAGTTCATTGCATTTTCAATGTTAGAATTCACACCAAAATAAACAATGTTTGTATCAAAAAGATCCACTACTGTTTATCTTCATATACCCACTATCTATCCACCAAAATGGACACTCCCAAAAAAATGTTCCTTCTCTGGAATTATAACTCTTACTTTTGGTCAGATTCTTGAGATGGTCTTGCTGGGTCTGTGTGTGAGATTTTGCCTCAAACTTGGACTTTTGTCCAGGGTGGTCTACTTCATCAACATCTACCTTATGTTCTTTCAGAGGTTCGTACTTTCCATTTCCCTTATAACCTTCGGAAACATCTGGGGCAGGAGGGATACTGGCCCTAGTTGTAAAATATCAACCAAATTACAATAACATATTTAGCATCAGACTATTAATGTGAGAAATTAAGTGTGGTATGATTAAATTATAAAAGAAGAAAAAAACTTGCTCATCAAAACACATCACCACCTATTTTAATACATAAATGTTTAACACCTGCCACACGAGCTAGCCCAGCATCTTTTTGTACTGACCCAAGGATGTTCAACAGGGGGGGTCATTCCAAAAACCATTGATTTAGGGTTATTTCAATAGATCTTAGTGAATGAAGCTCACTACAATATATAAGATGAAGAAAGAAAACTAAATATTAATGAATCTATACGGATTATACTATAGTGGTACCACACTGATCACTATACCATCCTTCTCATATTTACTCTTCTTTGCAGAAATGGCATTTTTAACTTGAGAATCACTGAAGAAATTATCTTGTAAAGCATCATGCATTTGCCTCAACACAGCATTTTTGGACTTTACTGTACCCTTAGTTCCACAAAATATTGAAACAAATGATTTTTTATATATGATTCCAATCCCCCCCCCCCTTGAAGTTAATGATACTATCATTCCCATTTTCTTATGTTTCATTTTCAATGCAGTAATCAATTGATGATTCTCCTATTCAGCTGATATATCAAATCAACTGTAATATCTTCAAATAAATTCTTCCCTCATCTGACCTGGACCAATGGTTTAGTCTAATCGCTACACTTAACCATCACAACCACATCTAGAACATGTCAAGCATGTTTCATTGCTGAATAAGTTTACTTTACAAGTTAACTTATCCTTGTCAGCTGTCATGGTTTCAATGACCTAGACCTCAAAAATAGTGCCAAACATCTTTTTGTCTAATCAAAATAACATAAACCTTTCCAGAATGACTCTTTTGAATCCACTTCAAGATGTTGTGCAGGTGTTGAAACAGGCTTATTGAAACTATAACACATGTCAATAGTTTACACAATACACATCACTACCTACCATCTTTATTACTTTTTATCTTTATTACCTACTACTTTATTATTAAACCTATAACTCATGTTAATATCTTACACAATACACATCACTACCTACCATCATTATACTTTATTATTAAAACTATAATTCATGTTAATATTTTACACAATATACATAACTAACTACCATCATTATACTTTATTATTAAAACTATAACTCATGTTAATATTTTGCACAATATACATCACTAATTTCCGTCATTACACTTTATTATTAAAACAATAACTCATGTTAATATTTTACACAATATACATCACTAACTACCATCATTATACTTTATTATTATAACTATAACTCATGTTAATATTTTACACAATATACATCACTAACTACCATCATTATACTTTATTACTAAAACTATAACTAATGTTAATATTTTACACAACATACATCACTAACTACCATCATTACACTTTATTATTAAAACTATAACTCATGTTAATATTTTACACAATATACATCACTAATTTCCATCATTATACTTTATTATTATAACTATAACTCATGTTAATATTTTACACAATATACATCACTAACTACCATCATTATACTTTATTATTATAACTCATGTTAATATTTTACACAATACACATCACTAACTACCATCATTATACTTTATTATTAAAACTATAACTCATGTTAATATTTTACACAACATACATCACTAACTACCAATC